CGCAAGGTCAGCAGTTCGAAACTACCAGCTGTTCCATGGGAGAAAGATGAGGATTTATAGCCTCGGAAACCCTGTACAGGGTTGCTATGAGTCAGAACTGACTCCACAGCACATAACAACAACAACAATAACCTTACAGAGTGCTTCTGAGAATTATGTAACATGCTTACCCAGGGCACACAGTAAATGCAAGCTGATTATTGTCAATTCTGCATAGACTTAGGAGTTTCTCGTAAGCTTTTTCTCACTTCCCCAACCACAGGAAAAACATAAGCAAAGACACAAAAGTCCCTCTTTCACTGCCCTTTAGCTCCAGTGTGCCTTCCGAAGTGTTCTCCCAAAAAGCCGAAGGGGAAGAAGGGCCCCATTCCTCCTGAGTGTGCTGACACTGACCTCTCCACAGGCCCATGTGTTTGACTTGGCTATCAACAAGTACGAGGCCATCTGCAACCAGCCTGTGGTGGCCAAAAAGAAGAACAAGATCACGCACGTGCAGTTCAATCCCATCCATCCCATCATCATTGTGGGTGATGACCGTGGGCACATTACCTGCCTCAAGCTCTCACCCAACTTGCGCAAGATGCCCAAGGTACAGGTTTGGGGATGGGATGCTCCAAGACATATAGTCTCCAAGATGGTGGGGGATGAGAAAGAGGATGAAGTCTGGTGTGACCCCTAGTTTTCTGACTTGAGAGACCCCAGGTGGAGGTATTACCCAAATGCAGAACATAGAGAAACAGATTTGTGGGGAGACAATGAAATCAGGTTTGACACACTGAGTTACCTGTGGGGCGATCAGGTGGAGACATCCAGTGAGCAGGGGACTCTCTGGGTCTGAAGCTTGGGGGAGGTGCATGGACATTATTGGAAGCTATGAATATAGGTCAGGTCTACATCCAGGGACTCTGGGCCTAGTTACTGCTCTCGCTGGCTGGGCTTACGCAGGACTGCAGTTTCAATAGTCCCATGCAGGGGAGAAGGAAATGAGTCGTGAAAGGGGTAACTAGGTCAACAGCTATGCAGTCCTTCTTTTGAAAGCTGATTCCTGTTTCTGGGGTCTGCTATGACCTCATTGTCTAGAACTCAGAATACAGATTAGAACCCAAACTCAAGAGCCCAAGTTGAAAACTCAGAACCCAGGAACCCAGAGCCCAGTCCTGCCCATTGGGTGCTAGAGTTTGAAGACTAGTACAGCTGGGCAGAGCTAAGAGTAGAAATGAGATTTGCTGATTTGCAAATCAGGGCAGGGACAGTACTAGGGCTGGGCCAAGTTGTCCTGACAATTGCACTGCAACCCCTATTGCAGCTAGAGCCCTTTACTGAAGTTTGAGCCTAGGGCAGAGGCCTATCTCTTTCCAGTACTGACACCTCCATGTCCCTCTAGCAAGGCAGAGGCACTGCACCATCCCTCTAGTGCTGGACTGGTCCCTTCCCCATCGTGGTCAGGGAGGCAAGGGCTGCGAGTTTGGCCAGGCCTGTAATTGTAGCCAGCTGGGGGAGGGGGTGGACTTGGCTATAAATACTCAGAAGGCTGCTAAGCACAGGCAGCTGTGGCCCAGAGGCTGTGGTGGGCTCAGGGGGAGGGGGCCGGGCGTGGTCTGAGGCTGCTGAGCCCAGAGAGTTGGCCCCAAGGAGGGGAAGCAGCAGCACACTTTACAGAACAGATAAAATCTGTTCTTAATTAACTGAGGAGTAAGACCCAGGCTTAAACTGACAGAGCTAGACAGCACCATGAGGGGAGGGGGCGGTGGCTATAGGTGAGCGGCTGACCTGCTCCCTGTTCTGGTGAGGCAAGGCTCTTCCACAGTCCCATCTCCTCTCAAGTAAGGTCCAGTCCTGGCTGTGAGCTGATGCTGTGTATCTTGGGTTCTGTCTGAGGGGATGAAGACAAAGATACCTGGGGGTTTTGAGGACCTGAGCCGGTCACAGTGGATCAAAGGTCCCTGTGAAATCACCATCTGAGCCCTACTACACCTATGTGATTCGAGCAAAAGGATACATCTCTAGTGTCCTTCCTCTGGGGCCTGCAGCCGTGAGCCACAGAGATTTGGGCTGCCTGGCCCACAGCGTTTTCCATGGTGGGTATCAGAGTCCCAGCTTGTCAAAAGTCAAGGAGTATCTTTCCCTAACTACTGTACAGATGAACTGAAACTCAGAGAGTCAAAGAACTTGCCCAAAGTCACATAGTTAATGACAGAACTGAAACTAAAGTCAGGTCCTCTAACACTCAGGGGATAAGGTGAGGCCAAGAAGGGAACCAGAGCCAAATTCAGGGAAGAGTGTAGAGAGAGAAAAAGAGGTGACCTGGGTAATGGCAAAGGCAAGGAGTTGGGACCAATTTGATGGCAGGTGCAGGAGCCACCAGGAGGAAACCTGAGCCCCATACAGTGTCAGCAGTCAGGAGGGGGCCAGGAGGAGGCATGCTGGCCCTGCTTTTCCCCCCAGCTCATAGCACAGGCAGCTCCAGGCCAAGCCCTCAGCAGCCAAGGATGGGACAGGTGCCAGTGAGCAGTGGGCACAGGTGGCTGAGAAGGGAGGAGGCTGGGAGGGAAGGCAGGAACTGGCAGCTGCCCAGCCTGCGATGCTCCACAGCCTGGACGGGTGCTGGTCGGCTAAGGAGCTCTCAGGCCTGTAAGTGGCACATACCCAACATCCCAAGTCCCTTTTACTCAGGCTCCAGCTTACCAGTGGCAGCATTAAAGTGCTCGCAGGCTGGGTTGATTCCCACTCACAGTGATGTCATATATGCAGAGGAGACCTGCTCCTTAAGGTTCTCAAGGCTAGAATGTTTCAAAAGCATATTGCCAGGTCTGTCTTCTAAGGAAGGCATCTTTGCCAACTTTTCAGCTAGTCGTTGAGTGCTTAACTGTTTGCACCATCCAGGGACTCTTACAGGCTGAAGTGAGGGGTCATAAATTCAGGATCTTTTCTTCTGAGCCATAGTTCCAGTCGAGGACATACGGAGTCACATTGTTGTTGTTAAATGCTGTTGAGTTGGTTTCGACTCACAGTGACACTACACAACAAAACATTGCCCAGTCTGTACCATCTTCACAATTGTTACGTTTGAGCCCATTGCTGCTGCCACTGTGCCAATCCAGCTCATTGGGGGTCTTGATGTCCTTTTCCAGTGACGTGTTCCTCCTGATAATATGTCCGAAGTATGAGAGGCAAAGTCTGGCCACCCTGGCTTCTGGTTGCACGTCTTCTAACATACACTTGTTTGTTCTTGTGGCAGGCAGTCCATAGTATTTTCAGTATTCTTCTCCAACACTATGTAAGAGTCCTGGTATGGCACTATAGGATCAGCACTGGACTACTAACTATAAGGTTGGTGGTTCAGACCCACTAGCAGCAACTTGGAAATTCTATGCAAGGTCACTATGAGTCAGAATTGACTCAACATCACTTAATAACAACCAATGCATCAAATGCATCAATTCTTCTACAGTCTTCCTTATTCACTATCCAACTTTCACATGCCTATAAGGTTATTGAAAAAACCATGGCCCAGGTCAGTGCACTTTAGTCCTCAAACTGATACTATTACTCTTCAACACCTTAAAGAGGTCTTGTGCAGCAGATTTGCCTAATGTAATACTGTGTTTGATTTCTTGACTGCTGCTTCCATGTTTATAGTGTTGATAGTGGATCCAAGCAAAAGAAGTCAGTCACATTGGACTTCTCAAAATGGAATCACACAGGATATCCCATTTGTCCTCACGAAGTTCCCTTGACATTCCTGGACTCTGGGTTTGTCAGACTAAACAGGCCTGACTTCTAATAGCAACCCACTTCCAACTTGACCTGAAGGTATTAGGCAAGAATCCTAGATAAGGGCACCTGCCGCTTTGTACACTCCTCTCTCTCCCCAAACAGACACCTCTTAGCTCTTTGACAGGACTCAGCCAGAGACCTTCCAATGGGAATGGTGGTCGCAACAGCCAGAGACCTCACCCCTTCCCAGGGCTATAGCTCTTTCTTTGCTTCAAAGGTCCAGTTCCTTTTAGGATCAGCAGGTAGATGCCTTCCCAAACAGCTCCCCACATAAAGATCCTATGTTCATCTGAGGTTCCAAGCCAGAGCTGGTTGCCTCTCCCAGACTCAGCTGGGCCCCTGTGTCATGTAACCTGAGCTAGAGAGAAGGCAAAGATCCAGAACCTAACCAGCAAAGAGGGGTGGGCAGAAGAAGCAGTACCAAAACCTGGAGAGAAGTGGCCATTTGTCATCATTCCTCCCCCATTTGCAGGAAAAGAAGGGGCAGGAAGTGCAGAAGGGTCCAGCTGTGGAGATTGCAAAACTGGATAAGCTGCTGAACCTGGTGAGGGAAGTAAAAACCAAGACCTGAGGGCTGGCCTCAGTACCTGTCCCATTTCTTAGACCCATCTCTTGTAGCCCTGCCCTAGTATTCAGTCCAGCCTTAGAATTCAGCATGTGACCCCACCACTGACCAGGCACTAGCATCTGCCCTGGCCCCAGCACCTTCCCCCAGAATTTGACCCTCAACCACCATTACTCTCCTCTACTTTGTATAAATAAACCTGTCTGGAAGCCCACCCCACACTTTTTCTCTTGCTACTGCAGGGCCCTCAGGAAGAGGAGAAAATCTCAGGATAGAGTCATAGTTCCATTTATTATCCAGCAAACAGCAGGAGGACCAAGGGAGAGGCCCAGTCTGGACACCCTCCCATTATTGCCGTGGGTTCCAGTTTGCTTCCCCAACTAGAGGGCCTAGAGGCGCTTAGCCTAGGAAGAGGGTGAACCCAATCCCTGGTCCTTGGGATGTAGCAGTGTCCCTCCCTGGCCCTAGCACCAACTCACAAATCCCCACCCCAGGCCCATCTCCCTGGGGCCACTGAGCCCCGTTAGAGCTAGGCTGGCTAGCTCCAGGCAGTCTGGGCTGTGAGTTCTGGACCCCAAGCTGCTGATCTCTTGGATCCTGATTCCAGGCTCTCAGCAGGGTGTACTTAGGTCCCAGGCTCCAGGCTAGGCCCATGCCTTCAGGGCTGCAGCAGGTAGCTGCCTTCATGGCTGGGCTTCTGGGGTGGGGGTGCCTTCTCAGGACAGGGGCCAGGGCTGGAGTTGGGACTGGATTCAGAGAGGGAGTCAATGTCGGTGGAGCGGGAGTGGCAGGCCCAGCAGAGAATGGCCCAGAGCAGCAGCAACAAGAGGCCTACAAGGCCATTGCAGATGATGGCAATGAGGGCCCCCTGGGAGATGGCTGCCCCCATGACAGGCAGCACCCTCAGACCAGCACAGACAGTGGGGCCGCCTCAATGGCAAGGCCCATGCTCGATGATTCCTGGTCAGTAGAGATGTCCACCTGCAGTCCTGGGCCTGTGCAGGGTACAAAGCAAAGGAAAGGGTGGTAAAGAAAGAAGAGTGGGGAGAACCTAAGAGGAGGAGGTGGAGAAAAGAGCCCTCTTCCCATATCCCTGGCCTCACTGGCAGAGGGCATTGGGTCCCAGCAGTCACAAATATCCCACAGAGCCAATACCCCCATCCTCAGGCCTGGCCCCAGACACCTAAGTGTAGCTGCAGTGAGGTGGGGGTTGGGGGGGGGGGAACTGGAGCAAACAGCCCTACCCACTGAACCACCGGCCCTCCAAAGCACTGTATTTTGGGTGAGGGAGCCTAAGGCCTCAGAGGATGGCGACTGTAGCCAGCTTTAGTGTGGCCTGGGTGCCGCCCCCATCTCAGGACTCAAGGCAGCCAGCCCAGGAGCTCACACAGAGGGAACTGTGTGGAGGCCCTGGCAGGCATGTGTGGGTTCTATGTGTCCAAGGCTGTGTACCTGGGTGTGCCTCTGTGGAACTGGCTCCAGTCAGGTGCATGGGTCTGTGTGTCTGGCTGTCTTTCTCTGTCTCTCTGTTGCCCTGCCTGGATGTGAGCCTCTGCCTCTGTTTACCCACCTCTGTGTTTGTGTCTTTCTCTGTGTGTGGCTAGCTCTTTACAGCTGTCTCTGTGTGTGCTTGAGTGTCTCTGTGTGTCTCATCTCTCCCGATCTATCTGTGTTTCTCTGTAACCATCTATCGGATCTCTGTATCTACGGGCTTCTTGTGTGTGTCTCTGCCTTCCCACCTGAGTCCCCTCCTGTGCCCGTGGATCTGAGTCTCTCTCTCCTCTCCGTGGGTCTCTCTGTCTCTGTGGTTCTGTGTGTCTATCATTGTGCCTTTCTCCGCGCTGTGGAAGTGTTTCTGTCTCGGTGGTGGTCTCCGTCCCTGGGTCTCGGTCCCCGTGCACGCTGGGGGGAGGGCGCCCCTTACCTGAGCTGAGCCCGGTGCGCGCCAGAGGGAGAGTCTGGGGGAGCAGGATGCTCGGCGCCGACTGAGGCTCAAGAGCTGGCAGGAGGGCAGGGGGCGGCGGGACGCGGGCAGGGGCGACGT